AATGTCATTGTCTGAACGTGTGTCTCTCTGTTTTAACTGATATTGTATTATTTGATTTTGTGTTGTTTTGTCTTCCTGTCTCAGGACGACAGATGCGAATTAGCAACTATGCTAGAATCTGGCTCATTTACAATCTGATGAGATTGTTCATTAATGTGCACTGTCCTGATTAAATAAATAAATAAACATTGTGTTTGCAGGTTAAAAACCTTGTGGAGGAGCTGGCTGGTCAGGATGAAAACATCAACAAACTGACCAAGGAGAAGAAATCCCTCCAAGAGGCCCATCAGCAAACGCTGGACGATGTCCAAGTAGAGGAAGACAAAGTCAACTCCCTGACCAAAGCCAAGAGCAAGCTGGAGCAGCAAGTGGATGATGTGAGCAGCAGGAATCCATTAAATAAAAATAATAAAAATCCCCTGGTGGCAACTCGTGAGTTAACTGTTTGTCTGCATAGCTTGAGGGCTCATTGGAGCAAGAGAAGAAGATCCGCATGGACCTGGAGAGGGTTAAGAGGAAGCTGGAGGGGGACCTGAAGCTAGCGCAGGAATCCCTGATGGATCTGGAGAATGACAAGCAGCAGTCTGAGGAGAAAATGAAGAAGTAAGCTCTGATCTGACGCAGCAGCGAAGTGATGCCTGAGCTCTGAACCGACTCCATCTGTGTTTTCCTCCTCACAGGAAGGAATTTGAAAACAGCCAGTTACAGGGCAAGATTTCAGATGAGCAAGCCATAAATAACCAGCTCCAAAAGAAGATGAAGGAGCTCCAAGTAAAGCGGTTTGGTATTAAAGGTATTTGCCGCCATCTTGTGAGGGTTTTCTCTCAGATCTACGGTTTTTCAGGCTCGCATAGAGGAGCTGGAGGAGGAAGTCGAGGCCGAGCGAGCAGTCCGAGCCAAAACTGAGAAGCAGAGGTCCGACCTGACCAGGGAAATGGAGGAAATCAGCGAGAGGCTGGAGGAGGCCGGCGGGGCCACGTCCGCCCAGATCGAGATGAACAAGAAGCGCGAGGCCGAGTTCCTGAAGCTGCGGCGGGACCTGGAGGAGGCCACGCTGCACCACGAGGCCACGGCCGCCGCCCTGCGCAAGAAGCAGGCCGACGGCATGGCGGAGCTGGGCGAGCAGGTCGACAACCTCCAGAGGGTCAGGCAGAAGCTGGAGAAGGAGAAGAGCGAGCTGAAGATGGAGGTGGACGATCTGGCCGGCAATATGGAGACCATGGCAAAGGCCAAGGTGAGCTCTGTGGAACCTGAGCAGAGATGTATAAAGTACTGGAGTAGAGGAGTGGAGTAGAAGTACAAGTACTATATAAAAAAAATTACTTGAGTAAAAGTAGAAGTATTCTTTCAACACCATACTTAAGTGGAAGTAGGGAAGTAATCTTTTTTTTTTGTACTTAAGTATTACAAGTAGAAGTATTTCAAAAATTGCTACTCAAGTATCGAAAGTACAAGTATAAGTAAAAGTACAAGTACTGTGTATATTAAAAAAGGCAGTCAAAAATGTGATAGATATTGTTTATATTATTTAAAACGTGTGAAAGACAGAGATGTATAAAGTACTGGAGTAGAGGAGTGGAGTAGAAGTACAAGTACTATGTAAAAAAATTGACTTGAGTAAAAGTAGAAGTATTCTTTCAACACCATACTTAAGTGGAAGTACTGATATACTCCATTTTTTTGTACTTAAGTATTACAAGTAGAAGTATTTCAAAAATTGCTACTCAAGTATCGAAAGTACAAGTATAAGTAAAAGTACAAGTACTGTGTATATTAAAAAAGGCAGTCAAAAGTGTGATAGATATTGTTTATATTATTTCAAACGTGTGAAAGACCATACAGGTGTTTAAAAAAACAGAAAACTACATCTGCATTAGCAATCAACAGCCCTTCATCTACTACTATTTATTATTCCAGAATCCTGAGCTGAGCCTTTATGCTAGCATGTAGCATACAGCTAGCCAGCTAGGTTAGCTTTAGCTAACGTTAGCTGCTATGTCCTGAGTGAACAGGGAGAACTGAACTAGCGCTTATTTACTAGCTTATATGACATTGTATTTTTTTTTTTATTTACCTTGTTATGCTTCTTCAGATTAGATGGGGAATTTTCAATGGCCATGATTTCTCAATATTTCGGGAGGCTTTTTTTTTAAATAGGCTATCGCCCAATGAGGAGCCAGCTTCACAAACCGTGACAGAGCTAACTATCATTACGTTTACATTTCAGTAACGAGTAACGATTCAGCCCATGAAAAATCGATCGGAGTAAAAGTATTGAATTGATCAAAAATATGTAGTGGAGTAAAAGTAAAAGTAGGGAAAAAAATATATACTCCAATAAAGTACAGATACTGTATTTTGGTACTTAAGTACAGTACTTAAGTAGTTCTACTTCATTACTGAACATCTCTGAACCTGAGGGGGCTTTTCCCAGCTAAAGGGACTTCCTTGCATCTGTGCTCACTCTGACACTTAGTTCAACCTGGAGAAGATGACTCGCACACTGGAAGACCAGGTCATGGAGCTGAGGACCAAAAACGACGAGAACGCCCGGCATATCTCAGACCTGTCCAGTCAGAAAGCTCGTTTTCAGACTGAGAACGGTAACTCCGCTCCGCCCTCTGCTGCTCCTCACCAGGGACCAGCTCCCACTGAAAAATGGCTTTTTTCTCGAAATATGCCGATTGTAGGTGAGCTCTCCAGGCAACTGGAGGAAAGAGAGAGCCTCGTTTCTCAGCTGACGAGGGGAAAGCAAGGATTCACGACGCGGATCGAGGAGCTAAAGCGGCTGATCGAGGAGGAATCGAAGGCAAGCGAAGCTCCCGAACACAGATCTTCTCAGGGGGGCCAGTTTCATTTTTTTTTTTTTTTTTTTTACCTTGTCCTGTTCAATATTATGGCAGCAGAACTGAAATCTGAGTACCGTGCTATGCTGAACAAAATTGCTTTGCCAAGGGAGGCTTTGTTGGTGGGAAACCCCCCTTGATTACCCAAAACGTCATTCATTTTTGTTACCAAACTTCCATGTTTCCAATAATGCCGAACCTGACAGAGGGACAGGGGGGAGGGAAGAGTAGTGGAAAGGAGAGAGACTCTTTAGAAAGGGAGATTAAAAAAAACAAAAATAAAAAAAGAAGGAGAAAGAAAGACAACAAGACCATATGGCCAGCTGTTATGTCTGCAAAAAGGACACTGTGGAAGACAAAAGAACAAACAAGCAACGAAAGCAACAACACTGGTAGCAGGACACTGTTCCTTGTGGGCAATCCGAGTGGGGCCGGTTTCTGACTGGTTTCTGACTGGTTTCTGAATTGTTTCCTACTGGTTTCTGACTGGTTTCCCCCCGCAGGCGAAGAATGCTTTGGCTCACAGTCTGCAGTCGGCTCGCCACGACTGCGATCTCCTCCGCGAGCAGTTCGAAGAGGAGCAGGAGGCCAAAGCGGAGCTGCGGCGCTGTTTGTCGAAGGCCAACACCGAGGTGTCTCAGTGGAGGAACAAATACGAGACCGACGCCATTCAGCGCACCGAGGAGCTGGAGGAGGCAAAGTAACCCGAACCTGAACCTGTTCTGCCTGAGCTAATGATCACAATCTATGAATCTTTACACAGTTTTCCATCCAATTTTGGAAAGTTTTACAAGGTGCAGGTGCATCCGTCTGCTTTTAGAGCCTGTTTTACGATGTCCTTAGCGATCTATAAGTCTGTAAGCGGGGTTCAAAGGTGTCTACACAAAAGGAAAGATCTAAAAAGCACCAAAGCTTTGTCAAAATTTTAGTAACCAGTTTCACAGAGCTCACAGGATGGGCCAAAGAACCGCGTTTCGGGTTCTGTGCCTAACTTTCCCAGTTTCAGCCGGAAGCCTAGTTTTTCCATGAGCTCTGCTACCAGTTTTAGTTTTAACGTTTGCTTTGTTGAAGAGTGCCTATTTCTTCAGCTCCTAACTTTTTAAAAGGTTGGGGGGGTTTGGATGCTTTTTTTCCTGGCTTTCTTAACGAAAAGAAGGATGTGTTGGGCGACTACTCCAGACATGATGAGGAGAGGCCTTTGAATCTATGCTTATGTAAAAATGAGATGTAACAACCAGATCCTGAGGTCACAAATGAACAAAACCGACCATCCCGTTAATTTGGAAGTTCCCAGTTTATTTTAAATTGCTTCCAGGAAAAAACTTGCTCAGCGTCTCCAAGAGGCCGAGGAGCAGATCGAAACGGTGAACTCCAAGTGCGCCTCGCTGGAGAAAAGCAAGCAGCGGCTGCAGAACGAAATGGACGACCTGATGGTGGATGTGGAACGATCCAACAACTCAGCCGCCACGCTGGACAAGAAGCAGAGGAGCTACGACAAGGTATACCCAACCCCCCCCCCCAAGGGATGACCCATCACCGCTCATCCCGCCCTGAGGCTGACGTCTGCTGGTGTCCAGGTTCTGGCCGAGTGGAAGCAGAAGCACAAGGAGTCTCAGGCGGAGCTGGAAAGCACCCAGAAAGAGTCCCGATCTCTGACCGCGGAGCTGTTCAAGCTGAAGAACTCTTACGAGGAAGCCCTGGACCACCTGGAGACCATGAAGAGGGAGAACAAAAACCTGCAGCGTGAGTGGCGTCTGGTCGTTGTTTTCCTTGTTACACGATAATAACTATTGCACACCAATCTCAACATTAAACCTTATAATAACCTTATATAATATCCTGCATGACTTATTGATTGTGAGGGAACGCTAAAGGAAAAAAATGCAATGTTACCTGGGGGACTCAGTTGCTTATGTTTATGTTTATGCATTTGGCAGACGCTTTTATCCAAAGCGACTTACAGAGTAGACACAATATTACATTTCTCATCACTATGACAATAAGCTATAACTGAGTCAGTGGTGAGATAGAGATAGAGGTAGAGGGACTACAGAAGGAGCTGTGGGGGGTAGAGGTACGGGTTAGGGTTAGGATAGGAGCTTTCGGGGGTAGAGGTACGGGTTAGGGTTAGGATAGGAGCTTTGGGGGGTAGAGGTACGGGTTAGGGTTAGGATAGGAGATGCTCTTTGAAGAGGGGGGTCTATAAGAGTTTATGAAGACAGACAGGGACTCTGCTGTTCTTGTAGCTCGGTAGGTGGTTCCACCATCTTGGAACGACACATTAAACGGTCTGGATTGTCTTAAGCTGGTGAAGGCTCTGCTAGACCACAATCCATTAATGACCGGAGGGATCCAGTTGTGACATAAGCCTTTGCAAGAGGATTCAAGTAGATAGGAGCCATACCCTTAAGCACTTTGTAGGCCAGCATCAGGGACTTTAATTTTTGGTTCAAATCGGCCTTTTTGAAACCTTCCCGTCGTCCGATGTCCCGAAACAGAGGAGATCTCAGACCTGACGGAACAGCTGGGAGAGACTGGAAAGACGATTCAGGAGCTGGAGAAATTCAAGAAGCAGGTGGAGACGGAGAAAAGCGACATGCAGGCGGCCCTGGAGGAAGCTGAGGTAGTTATGGAGAAGGGGAGATAAAAGTATGGCTCTGCATGATCCGAGGGACGACCGAGGCTCACGTGCAGAGATGTTCAGTAATGAACTACTTAAGTACTGTACTTAAGTACCAAAATGCAGTATCTGTACTTTATTTGAGTATATATATTTTTCCTACTTTTACTTTTACTCCACTACATATTTTTGATTATTTCAATACTTTTACTCCGATCGTTACTCGTTACTGAAATGTAAACGTAATGATAGATAGCTCTGTCAGGATTTTTGAAGCTGGCTCCTCATTGGGCGATTTGAACGATCGAGCATAGCCTATTAAAAAAAAGCCTCCCCAAAGATTGCGAAACCATGGCCTTCAAAAATCTGAAGAAGCATATCAAGGTAAATTAAAAAATACAATGACATATAAGCTAGTAAAAAAGCGCTAGTTCAGTTCTCCCTGTTCACTCAGGACGTAGCAAATAACGTTAGCTAAAGCTAACCTAGCTGGCTAGCTGTATGCTACATGATAGCATAAAGGCTCAGCTCAGGATTGTGACACTGGAATAATAAATAATAGTAGATTAAGAGCTGTTGATTGCTAATGCAGATGTAGTTTTCTGTTTTTTGTGAACACCTGTATGGCCTTTCACACTTTTTAAATAATATAAACAATATCTATCACTCTTTTGACTGCCTTTTTAAAATATACACAGTACTTGTACTTTTACTTATACTTGTACTTTCGATACTTGAGTAGCAATTTTTGAAATACTTTTACTTGCAATACTTAAGACCAAAAAAAAAAGATTACTTCCGTACTTCCACTTAAGTATGGAGTTAAGAGAATACTTCTACTTTTACTCAAGTCAATTTTTTTATATAGTACTTGTACTTCTACTCCACTCCTCTACTCCAGTACTTTATACATCTCTGCTCACGTGGGATTGATATGTTCAAGGCTTCTCTGGAGCAAGAGGAGTCCAAGATCCTGCACACGCAGATGGACCTGAGCCAGATCAAAGCCGAGGTGGACCGCAAAGTGGCGGAGAAGGACCAGGAGATGGACCATCTGAGGAGGAACGGCCAGAGGGCGATGGAGTCCATGCAGGCCACGCTGGACGCCGAGGTCCGGAGCCGCAACGAGGCCCTGAGGGTGAAGAAGAAGATGGAGGGGGACCTGAACGAAATGGAGATCCAGATGAGTCATGCCAACAGGCAGGCGGCCGAGGCCCAGAAACAGCTGAGGGGCGTTCAGGGGCAGCTCAAGGTACGGCCGCTCATCACTGGGGGGGAGGAAAACTGAAGAGGCAACCATCAGATCTGTGCAAATCAGGCCTCCGTTACAGGTTTTTTATGTGAAATCAGTTTTTTTCCTGTGGTTTTACTTTATCTGTATACAATTACTGTCCACTGAGGCATTCCCGGGTCATGAAACTCTATTCAGAAACTCATCTCTGGGTGGTTCATTACCTTCCATCATCCCCCGTAAACCCGTTTGACCAACATTTGACCCTGTAAAAATAGCCTTTTAAAAGGTCTGAGTAGCTCAGATTACAAATATTATTCAAATTATCTGGACCAAATCTGGTCCAGATAATCAAATCTGCTTTTTTTCCATCTCAGAAAGGATCAATGCGGCTCAGTATAAGCTAATTATAACCAAAAACATGTCAATACAGTAATAGAATAGCAGTTTACAGGCAGGCCGTTCTTAAAATAAAGACACAATTACTAAACATAGTATTTTAATTATACATTCGCTTCACCTTACGAAAAAAACAAAAACAAATTACCAAAATCATGTACAAAAATGAGGAAATACTCTTCAAATTATGCAGCTTCCATCAACTCTTTTTAAGAATTTACACATAAACCATTTAAAAGAAACAGCTTTGTTAAATTTTTTATATTTAATAACAGGAGTTTCACTCTGAGCAGTATTTAAGGAGGTAAAGTCAAAACTGATGAAGGCAACAACTTAATCTGAATGATCTGAGCAGAAATGGCCAGACTACATTTAAATAACCAGGAATATCTTAGTCTTTTGTTCAATTTGTTTAATCCCAACAAATATAAAGTGTCACGTCTCTCTTAGATAAATCAGTCTGTGAAACAGTTGGCCAGATATCTTGATTGACTGAGATTTACAGCTTTTCCAGCAGCAGGCTGTGACCTCCGGCTTGTTCTCAGGACGCCCAGATGCACCTGGACGAGTCTCTGCGGGCGCAGGACGGCCTGAGGGAGCAGGAGGCCGTTCTGCAGCGCAGAGCCGCTCTGCTGCAGGCCGAGCTGCAGGAGGTCCGGGCCGCTCTGGAGCAGACGGAGCGCAGCCGCAAAACGGCCGAGCAGGAGCTGCTGGAGGCCAGCGAACGCACCGGACTCCTGCACTCACAGGTACCTGAGCACTCAGAGGCCAATCAATCAATCAATCAACTGCACTCACAGGTACCCGAGCCCTCAGAGGCCAATCAATCAATCAATCAATCAATCAATCAATCAATCAATCAATCAA